TGATTGTGAGAGGTAACATGGGTCTTTGTGGCACATGTATTAAGCCTATAATGCTGATTGAGAATATTGCTCAAGGAGATAATGAAGCAGTAAGACAATCCTCCACAATCTATTGTTTCCATTTAATACCTTTTAGCCGCAAAATTTGCTTGGGTAACGATTGAATTTTTTTACCAACCTGCCACAATTACCTTAAGAGGAATATGATTTGTTGATTTGAGTCTTATTTGGGCTTTACATCTTTGGTTGGTCTTTATTAAGAAACCAAGGGTTTCTATTTATATTAACCCGATTAAAATCCCTCGTAGTGTTGCCATGCACATGACACTCATACGTATCGACACAATAGGTAATGTGATAGCAATCAATCGCAAGCTAAAATCATGGAAACTTAGAGTTTCAGGGTTGATTGATTTCATGTATTACGTGAAATGATGGGAGTTTTCCAAAGTTGTTAGTCATGGGCTTCCTATTTAGTAATCAAGAGCAGTAGGGTGTGTTTGGTTTTTGAAATAATCGGGTGGAACTGAAAGGCAAGGGTCACTCTTGTTTTGGGAGGGAAACTTGTATTTCCTCATAATGTTGAGTGTTTTTCCTCTTTACTCTATCATAATGTATGTATCTTATAATTGCTTTCCTTGTTTTGTAGGTTAAGGTGGATTTTGATGACAAGCTTAGTTGGGAATATCTATTCAAGGTATATTGGCTTTCCCTGAAGGAAGATCTATCTCTAACTGTCGATGAGCTTACTAAAGCAAATAATCCTTGGAAGGAGGTTCCTAACACTGCTCCTAACGTGGAGTCACGAAATGATCATACCAATAACAGAGCTTTAGATGTAGCAGTGAATGGAACAAAAAGAAGAAAGACCAGTGATTCCCCCACCTTACCCAACAAGTTGGATGGCAAAAATTCAAATAATATCCTAAAGAAGGCTCCTAGAGATACGAGCTGGGCAACAAAAGAACTCCTCGAGTTTGTGTCGTTCATGAAAAATGGCGATACATCTGTTCTATCTCAGTTTGACGTGCAGGGTCTTCTGCTTGACTATATCAAGAAGAAAAATCTTAGGGATCCTCTTCAGAAGTCTCAAGTTCTTTGTGACCTGATGCTTGTGAAGTTGTTTGGAAAACAGCGAGTGGGTCACTTTGAAATGCTTAAGCTTCTCGAGTCTCACGTCCTTATTCAAGAGAAACCGAAAGGTGATAAGACCACAAATGGTGAAACTACTCATGCCGTACCTAGCCAAATAGAGGAGGATAGTGTTCATGATCCAGCGGTCAGGGATAGAAGACGTAAGATGCGCAGGAAAACTGATGGCAGAGTACAAAATGAAAATTTGGATGCATATGCAGCCATTGATGTTCACAATATCAATCTGATTTATTTGAGACGTAAATTTTTGGAGTCTCTACTTGATGATATCAACAAAGTTCACGAAAAGGTGGTAGGCACAATTTTGAGAATCAAGGTATCTGGCAGCGACCAGAAGGTGGATATTCACAGGCTTGTTCAAGTTGTAGGTACTTGATTAATGGTCATATTAATGCTTTGTTAAGGAAAGAAAGAAAAATGGGATATTAGTGACCCAAATTTTCTAATAGTAAGATTTCAGCTGATTTTGTGGTTATTCAACAGGTACAAGCAAGGCAACAGCATCCTACCAACTTGGCGCAAAGACTACAGATGTTATGCTAGAAATACTGAATTTAGACAAGAGAGAAGTCATCTCGATTGATCAATTATCAGACCAGAATATCACAGAGGTGATTATAGTTCTATCTGAAATATTGATTTCTCTACCTTTCTCTCATTCTCTGCTTGTGAATAAAGAGTTAAAAACCCATCTACGAATAAGTAAGATCTAGTAATTACGTTTCAATATTTATCTTTAATGTACTTATAACCCTGGTTTTCAGGATGAGTGCAAACGGCTGCGCCAGAGCATAAAATGTGGCCTCAATAAACGTTTGACTGTGGTAGGAATGCGCACATGATATCTTCTTGTCCTGAAATTGTATATTTTACCTAATTTGGAAGCATGTGTTTTTTTTTGTGTCAGGGTGACATCTTGAAGACAGCAGCAACACTGCAAGCCATGAGAACCAATGAGGTAGGTTCATTAAAAACAGCAAATATCTTTCATGTAAATATTGAGATCCTCATTATAATACTTCTTATTGCCCTCTACCGTGTTACTTACGAATGTTTTGTTGATGTAGGCTCTGGAAGCTGAGATATTAAAGCTCAATCATCTCCGTGATCGGGCCAGTGAGAAGGGTCATAGAAAGGAATATCCTTTTTGAGATTGCTATACTATATTTGTTGCACTTCGCTTACACTATATCTCTTTGCAAATGTGCTTGATATAGAATATTTTAGTGAGTCGTTGATGAAATAATTCATTGAAGAGGTGACCATGCTGCTCATAAGCGCAAAGAATAATTCAGTTTGAGTAGTATACAACTTGACAAGTACCTTGGTCTTCCCATTTAGACTTTGACACTGATTGCATGGAATTAATTCTTGATTTATCAACTATTTCTTAACTATCTCCCACGCTTAGAGAATGTGTAGAAAAGCTGGAGCTTCTAAAATCACCTGATGAACGTCAGCGGCTTCTGCAGGAAGTCCCAGAAGTTCATACAGATCCAAGCATGGATCCGAGTCATGCATCATCATCAGATGCAGGGTTGGGTACAACAAAACAAGGTCTCCCACCTTAACCTAGGATGTGAACAGCTACTTGTTCATTATCTTATCGAAAATTCATGCTTGTTGGATGCTATTTACAATCTTCTACGTTTTTAAATTGCAGATAATCACATAAAGGCACAAAGTAAAGGTCCGCAGAATAAAGGGGCTATCTTGAACAACGTAGGAAATAATGCGCAGAAAAAATATGATGCACCAATTTTGCGAAGCAGAAATGTTGTGCATGCTGATAAAGATGATTGTTCTAAGGTCCACAACAACTCATCAAGTATCCAGGTTTGACATACCTCCTACATTCGCAACATAACCTTTCATGATTTTCTATTTTGGTTTCACGTCATGTAAATTTCTGCGTACTGCAGGAAACTGGTAAAGATGACGAGGAGAGTGAAATATGGCATTATCGAGATCCAACAGGAAAGACCCAGGGACCGTTTTCTATGGTGCAGCTCCGTAGATGGAAATCTAGTGGCCATTTTCCCCCTTATCTTAGGATATGGAGAGCGCATGAGAACCAAGACGAGTCTGTGCTTCTGACTGATGCTCTTGCTGGACGGTTTGATAAAGCAACTACTTTGCCAAGTTCTGCTTTGCTTCCCCAAGAACAAAAACCATTTCCGCACGATTCTGGCCGCACTGGCGTGGATGTGAACTGTCTTCAGAAGAACCAGACGCCAGTTAACACCAGTGCAACCTCCTCTTCCTCCTCTACTGTCACTGCCCATTCTAACGATCCTAAAGAGAAACAAGTTGTGGCTCTTGTAGTTTGCTCTGGAAAAGTCGAGGATGGTAATTCTGTTTGTCCCCAGTCTCAAGTTAGTTGTCCGGCGTCAATGTCTGTGGTTCCTGGACACGTTGTTAGTCCTGATGTAAGACAAACTCCAGGAACTGATCAATCCAATGCTGTGCGGGCAGATGGTAACCATAACACAACTAAGACTCTGGATGATGGAACAAATGGTGGTTCTGCCATAAACGGTTCTGTTCAGGCACCAAACCTGAATCAAGAAAGCCATTTCCTTGATTTCCCTAGTCCTACACCTAAGTCGAGCCCTGAGGACTTGGAAGCTCAAGCGGCAGAGACTATTCAGTCTCTGTCTTCATGTGTTCTGGTCAAAGGACCATCTGGTGTCACTTGGAGCACCACAACAACAGCTACCACCGATGCTGCTACTACCACTTCAAGTGTTGTGATCACTGGAGGACAGCTTCCTCAAGTAACTCAGCAGAATGCTGTTGTTTTAGCTGCACCGTCTGTAAAGCCAATTGATTTGGCAGCTGATCACGCCACAGCTACGCAGACTTCAGACAACACCCAAGTGGCTCAAGCATCTGGGTGGCCGGCCATTGTGGCTGACCCTGACGAGTGTGATGAATCAGTTTCAGATTTATTAGCTGAAGTTGAAGCAATGGAGCAGAACGGTCTTCCCTCTTCACCCACCTCAACGTTTCACTGTGATGATGATGATGATTTGACAAAAGGGCCAGAGAAAGATTTCTTTAACCCCGTGGCACGCATGTCCCTGACACCTGAAACATGTAGATTGGATGTCTCTCAGGCGAGTATTCTCGACAATGTCTCTGCCGGGAAAAACTCAATGGGTACAGAAGCAAAAGACAACACACCCTTCAGCCACTTCGGAACCGCTGGTCCAGAGCTCCTGCTTTTTGCACCACCAGCGCCAGCGCCAACTTCAATAAGTCACGACCTGACTCTAACGACAACGGCTCTCAGACTAGGATCAGAAACCACAGTTGAAGCTGGATCGGTCGAGAGGTTCCCCAAATCTGTTTTGGGAGTAAGTTCGGAACCAAGCCCTAGGTCATTTATATCTCATGACTCAGGCTCAGCCCGTGGAAACACCGAGCGAAGTCCACGAGGGAGCCAGCAGAAGAGATCCAACGGGCACAGCAGAGACCGGCAGTGGTTGAACAACAGTCACAACAGTAGCTTCAACAACAGTCATAATAACCGTCAATGGCCATACAGCAACAGCCATGGGTATGACCATGGATCAGGTTCGTACGCAGCTCATCCGCCCAAAGGGCTGAAAATCTGTAAATTCTATGAGAGTGGATACTGCAAAAGAGGTGCATCTTGTAGTTTTTGGCACCCCTGAATTTTCATTTCTTGTATTTTGTATTTATTTGTTTATTTACCACATCTCGAACCTCCCTTTTTGTTACACAAAAGTTTCTGTACCCATAAGCTGCATGTTTAAGTAATTAAACAACTAGGTTCTCACTTCTGCTATCAAGTTATTTAGAAACAAAAAGCAGATAAAGATTTGAATTTTCTTGGATAATAAAAGTGACTGCTAAATTAAACAGATAAAGTGAGAATGTACAGAGAAGTAAGAAAACAAAACAACTCTCAGAAATAAACTTAAAATAGTAATAATCCTCAGAAAGCAGCAACCTTCTGCTTCTTCCATTTATGAGCAGCTTCAAGAATCTTGAGATTCATCGTCTGTGATTCTTCTGGGAACAAATAATCAATGTATTCTTCATACTCTGTTTCACCGTCTTCTCTAGTGATTGGCTTTCTCTTCTTGAGCTTCTTTGGGAGCTTCGATTGAACAGCACTAACATCCCCGGGAATACCAAAGCTGGCCTCCATGTTCAGCCAATCCTCCAACAGCTTAGCTCGTTCTTCCTTGAGCTCCGGTTTGGACTCTTTGTAGTATGTGTTGGCTCTATCGAAAATCGCTCTGGCGTGTTCAAGAATAACATCAGTATCTTGAGCAGCAGAAGCTTCAAACTTTGCAAAACTAAGCCACACCTTGTAATGCTTTGTACGGTCCAAGAGTCGCTCATATAAAGCTCGTGTCCTCTCTAATTCCCCTAGTGATATCTCAAAATCAATGTATGCCTTCCATAGCAGCTCGGGGGTGTCAAGAACAGGCTGAGATATTGCAAGTTCAAATATAGCTCTAGCTCGTTCTGTTTCAGCAAGAGACCTCTCAAACTCAGCAAACTTGATCCAAGCATAGCAACTCTCAGGAGACCATTCAAGATACCATAGCAACTCTCAGGAGACCATTCAAGATACCGCGTGTACAGTTTTCTACATCTATCTATGTTTCCCAAGTGGAGTTCGATCTCAATGTATTTCTTGAAAATCTTATGCTTTGGAGCTTTGCCAATGGCGTTTCCTAATATCTGCCGAGCACCGGAGAGATTCAGTTGCCTGATCTCAAACTGTGCAGCGAGCAACCATATCTTGGCGAAAGAGAATTTGGAGTGCGGGATAAGCACAAGGCATTCTCTGTACACAGCTCGAGTACGCTCCACGTCTTCAGCTACAATCTCTTCAAAAAGTGCATAATCAATCCACAAGTAGATATATCTCTGCCAGTATCGTTTCTCCTGGGCGGGTGGAACATTAGCAATAGCCCTCTCATAGAGATCTCTGATCCTATCTATATTCCCCAAAGTCTCCTCCAACCTAATGTAATCGAACCAGGAATCATAGTTCAAAGGGTTCTTCCTCACTTCACCTTCATACAGAAGCTTTCTCTCGCCAACAATGGCATCATCAATCCCTTCCTTATCCCCATACTGTTTCTCAAACGCCACAAACTTCTTATACAAATCCTCAGCTCTTCCTTTAGGGATATGATCAAGAGCAAACTTGTAAAGAAACCTAGCCCGTTCCACTTCTTTGCACCCTTCTTCAAACTCAGCAAAGGCCACAAAGATCATCTCAGCTTCTTCTTCAACGTCTCTCAATGGCGCGTTCGTACACAATCCTTGCAAGCGAAACTTGACGGTTCTTCATCTCAAACTTGGCATATCGAATAAAGGAAGAAGCTTTTGGATGGCAAAGCACAAATCTCTCGTAAATCGATCTTGCGCGTTCGATTTCGTTATACCTAAGTTCGAATTTGATAAAAGAGAGCCAAGCTTGTTGATCCGGTGACCAAACCATCCACCGTTCAAATACCTCTCTAGCTCCGGCGATATTCCCAAGTATCTCCTCCATGTGAATAAACTTGAACCAGAGCTGGTCCACGCGAGGGAGAACCTTCACGGCTTCATTCCAAACGTTCCTCGCATGGTTGACGGATTTGTTCCTCATCTCAAACTCTGCGTATTTGAGCCAGAGCGTATGGTTCCTGTAACTCTCGTCTCTCAAAGCTCGTTCCCAAACGCTCCGAGCACGACGGTGATCCTTCTGCGACTCTTCCCAATCCGCATACCTCACCCAAACTTGATTGTTCGTTTTTGCGCCGCGGATCTTGTCCTCAAACTCCTTCCGACGTCGGAGTCTGTAGTCGGAAAGTTCATCGGAATCAGTGATTTTCTGCTTAGGGACCAGCAGGATCTGAGTGTCTTCTCTTTGTCGAGCTTCCCTTAGAAGCTGCTCAGCCGTGATTTGCACCGGCGCTGGGGTTTTGTTCTTCACTGCCCTTGGAAACATGATCTCGAATTGTGTGATTTGTTAACTCGATTTGTGTTACACACCCTAATATTTTATAGAACCCAAATTTCCTTTTCGTATGAACTTACTGCCAAAAACAAAAAGATAAACTTACTTTTCCGACATGTGAACTTGACTGCCGGTTCGGTTTTCCCGGTTTTAGGATCTAGCTTCATAGGTCTCGTTTGGGTATTTAATTATTTATAATATCTTGGTCAGGTTTGATTCGGGTTTCTCTCGGTTTGGATTATATTCTTCTTTTCGGGTTCGGTTCGAATCTTAAATTATTTTTTTTTAAGTTCAAATTATCCAAAAAAAACTTAAAGGTTTAAATACTCGAAGCTATGTAAAAAAGAGTTAAAGGTTTACTTAGCTTCACATTTTTTAGGTACTAATCCAAGTTTTGGTTCGGTTCGGACATTATCTGATAATACTTATTTCTAAGACCCATTCAAGTATTTTCTAGAATCCAAAGGCAATTTCATGTTTTATTTGCTAAAATTTCTTTTCCTATAGAAACTTGTTTTTCCATGTATATGTGCTGGAATCATGATCAGTCGCATAGCGGTTAAGAGGATCATGAATTGATCTTCTTCAAACTCTCTGTTAGACAAAATTGTAAACTCAATGGCCAAAAAAAAAGTAATTTGCCAAATTTCTTTTTTGGGATAATTGTTGATTTTGCTCTTTTTCACCAAAATCTTTTGAAAATGTCATTTGCTTAATGGCTTTGTGGATTATGCTCTTTTTGCTATTTTGAAAAACTTCACATTTGAGAATTTTTTTTGAAATAAATAATAAACCCTAAAACATCTTACAAAATTTAGAACTTAATAAACCCAAACATAATTCCTAAATCTTGAAAAATAACAAATATAAATATTCTAAGGTAAAATGGCAGTTTTTACAAATGTCATTGGAAAAAGGCAAAATCAATAATTAATTTGTAGAATTTTCTCCCTTTTCATTATTTGGAAAGCATATTTTCATACTTGAATTATAAACGATCATATACATTATTTGTTATATATATGCATATTTTTTAATGAAGTTAAACTCAATCTTCATATGGTGGTAAATCCGGAATGGGATGAAAGATTTCTTCATGATGAGGATATCAATTCTAGTAATCCCGTTAATATGATAAAGGGAATAAAAAATGTGAAGATACATCTTCTTTTAATTTCGAGGTGAGTTATTGTTTCTTTCTCTCTACTTTTTTAGTTACATAAATTTATTAAACTTAGCTAATTTTTATTGATCTCATGCGCTACACTTCTTCCGTAGAGCAATTCTGGTTTTTGAATTCCTAAATCTCCTCACCCTTACTAATTTATTAGAGAATAAAAATAACTAGAATTTAACCCGCGGTATACCGCGGGGCTATATTACTTTAAAAAATGTAATGTTATTTTTTAAAAGACTAACTGAAAATATATCATATTAATTTGTATTTTAAAATGTAGATATCTATTTATCAATTTTTGAAGTATAAATACGAAAACATACATTTTTTTTAAGTAACGATGTATGGTGGATTTTAAACTTTTGAATATTTTACTCTGCAGTATACCGTGGGTCTGGTTTTTTATAACTGAAAATTTTAAATTTAAGTTGGATTTGTTTTGTTAATATTGTTTCTTTTGTTTTGTGTTTAAGATTGTATAATTGTATTTTGATTGTTAATTTTAGGATTTCATCCGTGATATACCGTTATTTATTAATATCGACCCAAACCCGTCATCCCATATAAACCCGTCTATATTATCTCGTTAGCTAAATTATTAGTATTATAAAATCCAAGAAAATAAATTATTATTGTTATAAAATCTAATAATTTTAGGATCTCACCCGTAGTATACCGTTATTTGAACGATTTTAAATTTATACTACTAATATATATTTTAAATTTATCATATAAAGTATATGATTTCAAGTTTTTTGTGTTTTTTTATTTAAATAAAACAACGGCTTAAATGATGATAGATATAGTTCTTTTCCTGTATGTGTATTTGATTTTTCTATGTGAATATTTTGATTATTATAAAATAGTATTTTTATTGCTATGCAAAATGTTAATATAAATATTTGCTATAAATTTTTTTGAAGATATATAGAAAGATTGTGTAAATATTTTTAGAAACAAATTAGGCAAGATATTGTTTGGTTAATATCTTTTATTTAAATTTTGTAAAATTAATAATAAATGCCAATGGCATTCTTTGTAAATACTGCTCAACCCTAGGATTTATTTGCTAAAAGTCATCCAAAAATGTATATATAGATGTGAACGAGAAGATCTAGGGCACCACCGTAATAAGATTATCGAAAATTTTAGATATCTATGTTTTGAAGCAAAAAGTCAGAATTGTAATAGGTAAAAAATGTATTTTTTAGAATTGGTGAAATATAGTTCGTGGAAAAAAATAAGTTTTCGTATTTGGTAAAATTAAAAAACGTACATTTTTTTAAATTTGATGGAAAGTCTATGAGATTTTTAAAAATCAAATTTAAAAACTAAAGTGCAAATTTTGAACTTAAAGTAAATTTGATAATTTTTTTACTTTAGTTTTTAAATTTGATTTGATCATATATCAAATTTGATTTTATCATATAAATTGCAAATGACCTCTCTTAACATCCGTGCGGCTCTAGTCATATCTTGAATGCATAATCTAATTTAATTAACACCAATTCTTCTAGTCGCAGTCTGTAGTCCGTAAGCTCAGCCGAATCTGTGATCTTCTGTTTAGGCGGCCTCGGGCGAGTGTCCTCTCTCTCTCTCGCCTCCCTCAAAATCTGCTCCGACGTGATTTGTAGCGGCGCAGGTGTTTTATTCTTTATCCTTAGAATCATCTTCGTTTTAATTTTCTTCAAAATAATTAATTGTCTTTGCTATCTAATTATTTATAGCCAAACTTAATACCAAAAACAATTTGCCAATTTACTTTTTTTTTTTTCTCTGATCAATTTGCTAAATTTCCTTTCTTCCTTAGAGAATTTGTTTTTTCATACTCTTGACATTTCTTTTTCTATTATTTGATTTTTTTCTTGAATGCGCATTTTCTAGTACTGATGTTAGTAGACTATTTTCTTTGTCTTACAACATCCTCAAGTATGAAATATTACGGTGGTAGCACAATCGGAGAAATTGCATAGGACCTCTACAAACATAAGTATGGTTCTAGTCATATCTTGAATGCACAATCGGACTATAAATCTTTTCTTGTTTAATTAACACCAAATCTTCTAATCCGATTTCTCTAAAACATTAGTCCTATGTGATTATTATTATTGTTCTAAAGTGATTTTTGGGTCTGCTCTCACCAAAAAAAAAAAAAAGTAATTATTGGGTCTTTATGGGTCTCAGCCCATTTTCTTAGACAACATTTAAAAAATGAAAAACTCTTTAAAAAAGAAAAAAGGAACGAGAAGATGGAGGGCACCGCCGTAATAGATAATCCGGGAGCAGATCGGACGAAAAATTGAAGATGAGCGAAAGATAGAGAGACAGAGAGAGGTGGAGAGATTTTCGAATAAGAAACGAAAGGGTGAGAGATAGAGAAGGCTTGCGATGAACGAAGGCTCGAGCGAAGAAGTAACGAGGACGGTAATGGAAGAGAAACCAGAACAGCAGCAGAGAGGATCTCTTGAGAAAGGAAGATCGTGCAAAGGCTATTTATATTACTCTTCCACTCTCAAATCCAAGGCTAAGAACCCTCGCTGCGTCGGTATCCCTCGTACTCTCCGTCAAGGTATTCGTCTTTTTGAGTCGTCGAAAGCTCCAATTCTCCCTTTGATTGATGATATTCATGGCTGCTTCTTCTATATTAGGGTTCCATGAATCCACCTCGTAGCTCTCTATTATTGTAATTGAATCTTAACTTATCGCGAAATTAGCCATGAAATCAATTTTGGTTTCTTATTGCGATTAGTTCTCTGGATTCTAATTCAGAAGTAATCTCAGAATTTAAACCTATAGACACGAAAACTGAAGAGAAATGTGTGTTTTGATTTCTTTTTTTGTAACTCAATTGCTCTTCTCTTGGCTGCTTCAATGGTTTATGCATATGCTAAAGATGTTTCATAACTTTGTAGTTCCTGATTATGTTGTTGGGCAATCTGAAGCTGAAGCTTCTAAAGAAGGGAGGACCTTAGCTGATTTTTACTATGGATGTTTGGGTTATTCCGTCTATATGACTGATAAAGACTCATCTGCCATTAAGCAACATACAAAGACTCAACTTCCCGTTTGCGTTGGTCTTGAGGTTTGTCGCTCGTAACACTTTTCTCGAAAATTCATTACATGTCTTTGAAAGTTACATATATTCCCATGGACTTTCATCTTAATCTTACTATCAATTGACTCGGTTTGGTTAGGCTGTCTGGTCAATCTATTTTCTGCTTTTCTTTATTGGTGTATGTGTATGCATTATTTTGAGGACATTATCCCAAAAGCTGGATACATATTTAGAACTTGATATACTTCACTTGCACCAAAGAAGGAATATGGTCTACTTGGTGCTGGCTGCAATCTCTATATTCTTCATCAAACTTTGTATGTTCATTGCAGATACTAGCAGATAGAAGAGCAGCTTCTGGCAATACTTCATCTGTTCCTGCCCGTGTTCAAAGTAGAAATGGTACACCGTATCTGCTCCCATTCACCAGTTTACAACAATGAAACTGAGTCCTGCCTCTTATATGCTCATCATTTTTGTTCCTATTCTCTAGATTCTCGGGAGGTGCCTCGGCAGCAGAACAATAAACCAGCACCAGCACCAGCACCAGCCACTGCCACAAACACAGAAAATGGCTTCCTAACGAGGTAAGGAAAGAGCTTTTGTTTTAGCTCGAGATAGTATACCTTTAAGATTTCACTTGGTGTGGCTTAATGGGTAATGGCATTGGTATTTTTTTACTTGAATGCCTAATTGCTTGTGGGTGAATACAAACCTCAAAATTAGATAAGTTAGATAACTCTTGGATCTGCGGTAGTTAGTCAAACACTCAAACTAATCAGTGTTATCTACCATAAAGTGTTCAGTGTTGCATAAGTCATGAAATGAGAATTGTTTATATAACACACAATATTCATTTTTGTGGGAATGTATTAGGTTCACAAGAAACGCAAGCCTGGTAGCAGGAGGGGTGATGAAGAACATGAAGAGAGTTGGTAACTATGTGAAAGAAACTGTGGACGATTCCTTGGACCCATATCGAAAGCGACCAAAATGAAGAAACTTTTTTACATTAGATGTGGAGACAAACCCTCAAAAAAAAAAAAAAAAAAAAAAAAAAAAAAAAAAAAAAAGAGGTGACAGACAGACGACAGGAGATTTGACACTTTTTTGGATTCTCTTTGAATTATAAAAATAAAAAGCAACAAAAAATGGCTGTATTGATGTGTTTAAGCAGTCCATGTCGCAAAGTGATTAGCTATGACTACGAGAACAGTAATGTGTAAGACCTTACTCAGTTTTGGTTTACTGATAATATTCATATGCCAATGAGGTACACCACTTTTATTACAGATGAAATCTCAAAACGATTCTTCGATTTCTAAACATAAAATTTGAACTCTGCTTTTTAACAACATTACTCATAGATTCTCAGTTCTTTACCCAAATGCTAACATAACAACTAGGTGGGGAGGGAGGTAATGGGAAATTTAGAGATTCTCAGTTTTATATGTACTATTGTTCCTCTTACTTAGATTGCTTAAAAAATGTGAAAATCATGGTCAAGTTTGGGAAATTTTAGAGAAAATTAGCACATGGAGTAGAGTAATGAAAGAAATAAGTAAAGAGAGGTTGAGTTGGGAAACGTGCCCATTTAGGGAAAGACAAAGACTCACGCTTTCTCTACCATCGTCGTCCGTCTGTTTCATTTGATGGTGCTGAGACGTCTAAGCGATTTCCATGGATGACACAACCTTCATTAGATCAAATCCCACCAAACCCATCTTCAAAATTTTCTTCTTTTGAACATTTGCATGCTTACCCGATTGGGAAACTCTTGTTATCCTTATTGATCTTCTTCCAACAGCGATTTCCCGATCCGAAATTTTGGGTTCAAAGTTTCCATTTTTACAAATCAATTTCATCTTTTTGATGGCTGCTTACGCGAATTATCTCCGACTCGCACGTCTTGGAACAAGTTCATCATCAGGTGTAAACCTGTCGACTCTCAGATCAATCGGTTATTCAAATCCAACATTTGACAAGACTCACGAGATTCGTTCCTCTTCTTCTTCATCGTTAGTATCACATTCTTCTTCGTTCAGACAATTCCACGCCAGATTCATCTCTCAACTTATCAAAACCAATGGGAAACGTTTGTTTCTTGTCGATACACTCGCTTTGGTAATAACCCTTCCTTGTTCTCTTTTGCTGAATCTTTTTCAGATGATTATTTTGGTTTCTGTGTCATCATCATTGCTTTGAATTGTCTTATCTCTTGCTTAGTTCGTAGGCAATGTTGTGATTAAAAGGAACTTTGTGTGAAATGATTCATTTTACAATTTCTGTATCTTCTTTGCATTTTCAAATGAGACAATAAAATGGTTGTAGTCTAGACCAGACTCATGGAATTCTCGAGGATGCAAAATGTCTGGTCGTTATTATTTGGATATAGTTTTAAGAGTATAGTTCAAAGGAGAATTTGGTATGTGGTTTTCAGGTTAGGAGCTTAGAAGCACAAGGCCTGCCTTCGAAGCAAGCCGAGGCAATAACCGGTGCTATAACTGAAGTTCTTAACGATAGCTTAGGAGTTGTTTCACAGTTGGTTGTCTCCAAGGGAGAGATGCAGAAAGTAAGTTTCTGTTGTGACAAGGCTTTGTTGCTTCATCAATTCCAAAGAGTAAGACGCGGTTATAGCGACGGTCTAACTTTGGTTTTCTTGCTTCTGGTAGGCTGAAATGACACAGGAATCAAACTTGTCCAAGTTCAAAAGTGAAATTAACAGTTCACTGGTAAGTTGTGTTCTCAAATTCCACGTCAAATGCTTGGAAACCCGATCGAGCAAATAGCTTCTCTTCTATCTCTTATAGTGACACCTTGAATCCAAAAGATTGTTGAAAAAAAAGTGTGTTATGTATAGGACCACCATTTCTCTTTGCTGCAACACGAGAATGAGAAACTCCGCAATGACATAGAGCGAATCCGCTCTGATATAAGGTCAGCTCTTTAATGAACTTATACATCTGACGTGCTATATAGACTCGATCAGTGCACTGACTATTGCAATAACATTGCAGACACGAGATCGACAAAGTCACAGCAGGACAACGGTTGGACCTAAATCTTGAAAAAGGGTCAGAGGAGCCGCTACCTTTTTTTTATGTCCCGATTGAACTTTTTTCTTAGGTTATATCTTTCGAAATTGTAATATGTCTCAATGATGTCGCAGGAGGATAAGAGATGAGTTACAAAATCAAAACGCAGAAACCTCTAACCTTACAAACAAACTTGACCGTGTTAGTATTCTCATCTCTAGCTTCGGTGTGATTTATTCGTTTTGGCAGCAAAAGTGTTTATGTTTTTGTTTTCTGTTTTTCAATCTTTCAGGAGATTCACACTTTGAGAGCTCAGTTAGAAGCAGCCAAGTATGAGGTGATCAAGTACTGTATTGGTACACTTGTCTCCATCTCAGCCGTTGGTCTCGCTGTCCTCCGGATCGTCATGTAGTTCCATCCGACTGTGCCGGTTTTAAGACCAACTCATCATCTTCCCTGTTTTTTTAATTACGGGATGAAATCTTTGGTCTTGTTAATTATTCGTATCTTTAATGTAATTGTATTTACTTTTTTGTGTGAAAGAAATAAAGAATCACCAATCTAGTAAATTTGAACCCTTCATGTATATGATGATGTTCTTTCACCGGAAACAGATTTTTTTTAAAAATCCTCCATGGGACAAATTTGTCCCAACCAACTAATGTTATCTTTTATAAATGTATGTGTCAGCCAAAGGCCCGTGAGATATATACGTTGTTAGGCATTCCTCATGACATAACAAGAAGTCGATAACTCTTAAAAGAAACATAAAATCATACTTGACGTTGACGAGAGCTTTAGAGCCAACAAGGGCTGCGATGCGATCATTATGAAAGTAGCCTAAGCTTGAGGAAGGGCGTGTACTATTATTACTTACTGCCTTTTCATAAAGTCAAAAGATTAGGCGAGTTTGGGTGTTGTGTAGACCACTAGTCGTCTAGTCCATTCCTTTTTAGTAAATTACACATGAAAGTTAAACACACTCGTATTTTAAAGTTATGTTTTCAAAATACATATGTAACTAAAACAAATACTACGTCTCAATCTTCTATCCCTATCTCGAGGGCGAGGCTTGATCCTATCTCGAGGGCTCAATCTTCTATCCCTCTCGGTTCCTCTCTTATGGTTACCTGGTTCTCTTTGTTTCAAGATCCTTAGTTGCAGGTAAGCGTCTGTTCTCTGCTTTTGTTTGTTCTGGGCTCTTCTTTGGGGCATGGCTGTTCTTTTTATTTTCTGTTTGTTGTATGGGCCATGTGGCCGTCATTGGGCCTTAGGGTCTTGTACTTTTCTTTTTTAATGGAAAAAAAAAAAAAAAAAAAAAAAAATACGTCTCAATTGTTGTATTTCTGCTGTAACAAGGTTTGTTTAATGGAAAAATAAAAAAAAATACTACGTCTCAAGAAATTGTTTTTTTTTTTTTTGTCAACTGATTTTGTATATAAATGGGATCGGCAACGTTACAACAAAGAGGCCACACAGATCAAACACACAGGTCAAGAAATTGTTATAGCTAATTAACTAGCGAAATATGTTTTCTGTTTATCGTTAAGTTCAATAGACGAAAGTCACGAAACGTAAAGCGAGCCAAAGAAATAATGTCAAGAGACGAGAAAAGTGGCTCAGTCACTCACATGTGACATGTGTTGTTGGCTCAAGGGTCTCCCAACAATTTTGGGCACACAGCTCGAGAATAACGTTACGGAACCAATCTATCTATATATTATCTTTATAGTTGAACTTTTGAATCCTACCAATTTTTATGTGGAATTCGTTAGGAGTGAAGCTTATTTTGTGAAACTTAATGATGTTGATCGAAGATTATAGATGCAAATCAATACCCATAAACAAATACGTTCACTTTATAGAATAAGTAACAAATAGAAAAACAATTGTTACAGAACTGAAACGTACTTTACGATCTCTTCTTTTCTTGATAAGAACAACGTATAGATTGATAGAGGCTTGCAATTGGCAATCTCCTAAGACAGAATTTAGCCCCTACTGTGGTGTACGTAGCTTTGTGTAGGCTTCTATCTTTAGGATATAACTATCGATCTCTGTTTTAACACCGTACAGAGACCCTAGCAAACTCTACTTTGAGATTCTCTGAAATTGATTTGGAGAAGAAGAAGATGAGAATCAATCCCAATCTTTCTCTCCTTTGTTTCTCTTGTATTGTTCTTCTCTCTTGTCTCTCTGTCTCCGTCTCTCTACATCGTTACGTCTCTTATATATTAATGAAGCGATATGTTTGAACCAAGAGATGCTTCTCTTCTCTCAACCGGTGTATCAGTATAAACGTAACCAAGAGACGTGATGAAATTTGCACAAGTAGAAGGGTATTTACATAAATACAAATGTTTATGTAAATAAACATGTTTATATAAAATAAACACCAACAATACCCCACATTTTCTTATTCAAACATATAAATACCCCACATTTGAATAGAAAATAAGCTCCACAATATCTGAGAAATAGAATCATTATGCATCGGTTAAGGTGTCTTTTAGACTTGAACCTTTCCTAGTAAACACTTATCGGATTTACTTTGTAGGTAGTGAACTCTTGTCTTGAACTAACCACTTTTGATAGTAAACCGAGACAATAAGTGAAACACATAAATTATCTGCTCATTTCATGTTTATACGGTTGTGTTCATTTTGGTCCTGAACATATCCCGGCTTCGTGAGAGCTCTAGAGAATTTAGCCATCTCAATTCTCATAGGTGCGACCGCGACACCACTCTCATATAGGTAACATTAATTAAGAATAGTCCATTCTATTCCACTAAAAAAAAATATTAATGTTATTAAGAAAAATATTCATCCCTTTAAACATCAATGGAAATACATTTAACTTCATAGGAATAAGTAATATGTATATCTTTCTTGAGTCTTCCTCAGCCAGTTTGCCTCTTGAACCTAAACCATGGGATCTCCAATGTTGCTAGGTAAGGTTTCCACCAAGTGATGACTCATTGTGTTGGCTTTAAACCCATTCCCCTCGAAGTGAATACGACTTGCTTTTTCGGTAGGCCTTTAGTCAAAGGATCAGCCAAGTTATCCTTTGTTCTAATATAATCCAATGCTATCACTCCATTGGAAAGCAATTGTCGTATTGTAGCATATCTCCTTCGAATGTGCCTTGACTTGCCATTGAAAATTTTATTTTTCGCTATATTTAAGGCAGCCATATTATCACAATGGATACATAGTGCAGTTACCGGCTTTGGCCATAATGGAATATCTTCAATA